GCTGCAGCAACGACATTGTTGCCAAACACCTTAAACGAAGCGTCACCATCCAATAGCGCGGCTGCACGCAAAGCCCGTAACTCCCCGCTAACCAGCCGCTGCTGCACAGATGCCGAAGGAAAACTAAAGCAACCTGAGCTGCTGCATGCACAAGTGCCATCAAAACTCCCGCTGTCCCCAGCAGCAGGAGCAGCAGCAACAGCAGCAAACGCCTCTCTGCAAGTCGTAGAGCCGCCTCCCCCAGCTATCGGCGGAGCGTCACCGAGAATATCGTGATCTCTCTTTCCTTTCTGCTGCTCCTTAGCTGCTTTCACAGCCGATGAAGCCTTGGGAGCCATTGAATGTGAAGGAGATGGCGGGTTTGGTGCAACAGCTGCTGCTGCTGCGGGTGCGCGTCGGCTGCTATGCCTCAAGCACGCAAGCAGCTCTGGGCGAAGAAGAATGAGTGATAGAGGCCCATTTGATTGAGCAAGGCTGTTTTCGTAGCTCCTGCTGCTTCTGCTGCCCTCCTGCAGCGCTGCTGCAGCTGCTGCTTCTGCTGCAAGGCTCCTGCCTGTGGCCTCTACGAAGCAGAGACACCGTTGGGGCTCCTTGGATATGGTTGGGCCCTTACGTTGTGCCTCAGCTTCATTACCATTCCTCCTTGCAGCGCCTGTCTCATCTGCAAGGCAAGGAAGAGTGGGAAGGAGCTGGTGCACGTAGTGCTCTAGGTTTATCCAGAAGCTCGCCACTGGCAACTCGGTGGGGGCGGCCTGCTCCCGTTGTTGCTTCTTCCAGCCTGTGCCTGCAGAGGAGCTGAGAGGCCAGGGGAAGCGAAAGGTCTCGCCTGTGAGAGCATCTAGGATAACCAACTCCCGGGTGTTCTCCGAGTGACCACGGGTGTTGGTTCCCTTTGCGTGGGCACTCGGGGGGGCACCGAACACATTAAGAGCTCTCATGATTGTTGCTGGGCGATTGGTTGAAAGCCTGAGAGAGGTCCTGCTGAAGCCACTCCGCTGTTACACTGCCAGTGCACAGCTGGGGACGGCGGCTGTGTTGTGTTGCGGGCTGCATGGGGGAACTTAAACGTCGCTGTCACTGCCGCTGAAGGAGCCCCTAAGTAAAGATTCTCAAAAATATGGGCGTAGAATTGCATGAGATGCGGTATCTGTGCACGCCAGATCAGCCCTCCTTGCTGGCCTCTTGAGCCGCATCACCAGCNTGCATGAGATGCGGTATCTGTGCACGCCAGATCAGCCCTCCTTGCTGGCCTCTTGAGCCGCATCACCAGCAGGCTGGTTGGCGGCGCATGCTTCTTTCGGGGGCTTCACTCCTCTCAAGCATGAAGCGGGACTGAAGATATACGGCTTATTAATTCTTTATTTCAAATAGATATGCGCCTAGAATGTGCAGCAGAGACCGCAATGCACGGAAATCCGGCCGCCACACCAGTGGTCAGACCGACGCCCTGGTGTCTGGCCCCCATCGGCTTGTTCTTGCGCTTTCAGAAGGTGAGTAACAATGTTTATTTGCTTGCTTGTTGGTTATAAGCGCTTATACTGCCTCACGACACCCACAAAAGGGGGGGCTGCGGTGCGTTACTACGGGCGACTAGGTTTCGCCGTAGTTCCATGATTAACATTTCCATAGAGAGTACCGCGAAAGGATTTCTCAACTTATGCACCAGGGATAGAGGCTAGTGAGCTGCCTTTCATCGATGAAGAACGTCACACCAGTGCTAATGCTGCTGAAGAGTATGTGCGTAGCTGTGTGCTTAGTTCTGACTTCATGATTGCTGAACAGTGGATTGCGCTAGTTGGTTTACTGATGCACATGCAAGTCACGATGACAAGCGAATCATTATGAACCACAATCATCTAGATCCTTTGCAGCTGGTATAGCGAGCTCATGTAGATTTCTTCGACGGCCTGTTTTTACTAGCGAGTATCACTGCTCGAACAATCTGTGGTGTCGCCGTCGTGGTGGGAAGAAGTTGACATATTTTCTTGCATGCATCTGCTGTCGTAAAGCGCAGCCCTCAGTGCGCTTAGGAGAAGATATCTAAGACCAAGTCCGTCGCTGGGCGCCTGCATGCCTGAATATGTTTATCTCTCAAATGGGAACTGTATCAGGTAGATTTATGAACTGCAATCTACGACCCAGAGTGCATAGAAGGATCTGTCTTCAGTTACTTCTGCCAGCCACTGCGTCAAGTTGGATCTGCGGAAATCGCTGCATTAGGGGTCCCAAAGCATGCATAGATGATTCTGCACTATTCTTCTGCACCCGAACATGCTACTCAATTAGCTGGAAACATATGTGAACCTCGCACCCGTTACATTGTGCTTGAAGGCTAGTTTTGGAATGTACTGTATAGTAAATACTTCGGTTGGAATCCATAGTTCAGAGCTGAACTTGTGAATCCATCTGCAGCTTAGTTTTTCGGGTTTTTACCGAAGAGCCATCCTCATCCAGAGCACATGACAAAAAAGTGCTCACTACATCTGCAGTTCCCAAGAGTGCCCCATCTGCTCAACAGAACAACTATGCTTCAACTTTCCGAAGAAGTACGCCTCGGCAGATTCCGACGTTGGAGTAGATGGGCGGGTGTAAGGCCACCGCTTCAGGAACAGACAAGCCGGAGAGGATGTCAATAAAACGCCCAACGTACGCTGGGCTACCACTAAACTTTCTTCAGGGCTCCCCCATTTAAAAACGACGAACTACCTTCATCGTCGCCTACCTACTTATCTGCCCGTGCCCTCTTTTCTTCCTGCTCTTCGCGCAGGAGCGAGAGAATCTCGTCTACTCTTTCCATCGCCTTGAGCATAAATTCCTCTGGATCTTCAGCTTCTGGATCTTGCTCAGGACCTGTGTTCTGCGCATGCCGAAGCGTGCATCTCAACTGGTACGTGTATCTACCATGTACGAAAAATGTAGAGACTGCAGGATAGCAACACAGTCAGACATCCCCCATGAAGCGTCATTGTTATAAACGGTACTTCACGCAAAGCTCACCAAACCGGATCACACTTACCTTTTTCGACGTCTGAGCCATAGGCAAGCATATTCCGCAAGCTTAAAGTTAATACTGGGGCTAGACTCCACGCTGCTTTGCCTGCTGCCTGCAGAAACAGGCAACAGCACATCACGAAGCACTCAGCTGACGGACGGTCAGCTGCTCGTCGGGAACCGCAGCAAGCCCAGAGGGACATTCCACAGGTCGTGAAGGGGCGGTTTCGGCGCAAGCGTGGGAGAGGCTCGGCACTTTGCCATCTTCTCATATCGCTTACTATTCTCTTTGCATGCTCCTGAGATACTGGACGTGGCTGAGATCACTCGGACACGCAAAACCTTTTGTATCAAACAACAGCAGCAGGGGCTGACCAGATAGGCACGTGCCGGCCCACAAAAGGCTGGAAAAGGGAAAGGGACGTAATAGTTACTATGGATTGCCCAGGAAGCAATATAGACCTACTGGTTTTCGCTGCGGAGTAGCAACCACACACAAAAACACACACCCCAGCTGAAGGATGACTAAATGATAACGCCGCCAGCGGACATGGAGCATGAAACTGTAAAGAAGCACTGTACCCTGGGTAGCATGCAAATGAGAACAGTTTGCGCTTCTCTGACCATTCAAAAGCTGCACTTTTCTGTCTGAGTTCTAAACCAGCGCCACTCCCCCACTGCTTGGAGGTCAACGCGGTACAGCACTACACACGCATGACATACCATTGCGGAAGCTAAGATATAGTCAGGGAGCCGCTGATTCATGCGCTCTTCTAGTGTAAGCTCCGACTTCCCCATCTGAATGCAAAGCAAAAAGCATGATTATGGGTCTATCTGCATTCTACGTGGGACTCGGGAGGCACGACTCCGGCTTCAACGGCAAGTGCACATTAGAAGTGCAACGTGATACGGCCGAAGTCAAATATCCCTTAAATGCGCTGCTTCTGACGGGACTCTTGTTGATAGTAGCCATGTGGAGAGGTGGGAAGCAAACGGACGCTTACTTCCATAGCTGCAGCAATTTCCTTGAACTGTAAGCATTTCGACAGCCGGCACACACAACAAAAGAGGAAGGAGGGTATCTGGGTGCACACTAGTGAATCCTGATACCTGCAAGGGCGCGTCATCGGGGGACTAGCTGCTGATCTATTAAAAGGTGCACAAGATAGAAAGTACCCACCGCTAATATTCTAATCCGGGCCTCTTCACTAATCTCCTGCAAATCGGCATTAGCAAACACAAATGATGACAACAAAACAAAAGACTCGAATAGAGTATAAGACGCCAAATCTACGTCCCTCAACCCTGTTGATCCACCTCCAAGCCCAGCGTTGGAG